AAAAAAAAAAAAAAAAAAAAAAAAAAAAAAAAAAAAAAAAAAAAAAAAACAACATCAAAAGATTAAAAAGAAAAGAGAGATCACTTGATGCAAAAGAAAACCCAAGATGCATTATTTGCTTTTAGAATAAATTGGTTTGAAATAAAATGAGAGCTTTGGTAGATGAATTGAACAATACTCCAATATAAATACTCTGTTAACACAAAACCATAAATGAAGAAAAAAAAAAAAAAAACCTATTTTAAAAACAAACTTGAAAAAGGCTCCAAACAAACATAGCCCCATAAATAACATTCATAACTAACCAACGTGGCTTTTATGAGATAATAATTTTTTTAATACAATGTATACATACTTAGGGTTTGATAATGCATATTAATATAAATATATATTTTATATTATGTGTTTGATAATGTATGTAAGGAAGAAGAGAAATATCGTTTTTGTGAGGCACGGTTTCTAAGGCGGTGGTAGTGCGACAAAAGAATCCCAACCCACTGGTAAGACCTCTTAGTAAATTTCCCCGCAATAATTGGCGGGACAGTTCACGTGGTCAACTGTTATTGGATTGTCGAAAATGGGAAGGGCCCCACAATCAATCATCCAGCTGTATCCACTTCCCCTCCCTCAATCAAAATCTCCTCCTTCCAACCAAATTATTGGTTACTAAAGCGCCAAATTAATCCCCCATTTACTATTCACGTGGGTCGCCTAAATTTAACGGTTCAATTACTATACTATAGTTTTAATCACCCTATGTTCATTGATTAACGTATTATTACTATTTTAATTTTTAAATACATTATTAATTATTGATTACAAATATTAGAAAGTTAAGTCGAGAAAATAACCTGATGGGCTTTAGAAGATCTGTTTAAATCTCCTATGTTATGCCGTTTTTTTGTTTGATTCCCTTCGCGGGCCCTCTTCTCTCTCCCAACGGCTAGTACAGGCCCATTAATAGTGGGCCCATTTGTGTAACCAGTTCTATTGTTCTTTTATTTATTTTTTAATATATTTCTATAATTTTAGAAAATTCCTTTGGGGTATTATTTGTGGGTCTATAATCTATATATACACGATTAAGCCACGAGCTTGGTAACATTCATTGCTTCATCGTCTACAAACGCTCCCACGGTAGAAATGGGGAGACAGTCTGTAATCGCACTCGTTCTCATTTGCGCCGTCGTGGCCGGCGTCGGTGGCCAGTCACCAGCTGCAGCTCCGACTACCGTTCCGGGCGCTACTTCGCCTGCAGCAGCAAAGTATACACCTCCAGCCGCGTCTCCTATATCGCCACCGACAAATTTATCTCCTGTCGCCGCTCCCCAAAAGCCGGTTACTCCAGCTCCCGTCTCCACGCCGCCCGCATCTGCGCCACCAGCAGTCGCTCCAGTAGCATCTCCACCGGCCAGCACTCCACCGGCCAGCACTCCACCGACTGCTTCCGTTCCTGCTAGCTCTTCACCAGCTGCTTCCGTTCCGGCTAGCTCTCCACCGACTGCTTCCGTTCCGGCTAGCTCTCCCCCCGCTGCTTCCGTTCCAGCAATCTCTCCGCCGGTTCCAGTTCCAGCAAGTTCTCCACCAGTCCCAGTACCGGAGAGCTCTCCTCCAGTATCAGCTCCGACGCAATCTCCTCCTGCGCCAACTCCGACAAGCACTCCCGAAAGTGCTCCGCCTGTTGAGGTACCATCGCCGGAGCCTAGCAAGAAGTCGAGGAAGCACAAAGCACCAGCTCCTTCCCCGGCGTTGCTTGGTCCCCCTGCACCTCCTTCCGAAGCCCCTGGTGCAAGCGAGGAAGGTCCTTCACCCGGCCCTTCACTGGAAGACAAGGTAATTTAATTCCATCTAAATCTCTACCATCATAGCCAATATGTGTCCATAATCTGTATAGAATTGATGGCACTGAGCTCATTTCACTCTGCCATTATAGCAAGTGAAATGAGCTCGATGCCACGCGCCACCGACACGCGTAGATCTAGCGTGTAAGAATCCTTAATTCGAGATAATAACCATGGTCGAGTCTAAATATTAACCCAAGGCATCGAAGTACTCAACAACGCGTCAAATCAAAAAGAAAGAAAACGTCAGAATGTCAGATCACACTACGCTCGAGATGAATAAATGTCATTCCAGTGTTCTGAGCTCACACTACGGCAAACACATTAATAAATTAAATAGAGTAGTGAGTCACATGTGATTATTAATTTTGAGCATAATATTAAAGAAATGGGCATGGATCTGTGTTTTGTTGCAGAGTGGAGCTGAAGCACTGCAGAAGGTGGCCGGAAGCTTGGCTTTGGGATGGGCTGCCGTCGCCGTTAGCTTCATCATCTAGAGCGAGGAAAATAAGGAGAGAGATGATGTGATCGTTCTTCATTTATTTATATTGAATCTTTATTTTGTTTAAAATTTCCTCCATTGTACTCCATATCATAAGAGGTGCTTTTTGATTGAATTGATTGATGAAATTTGTTTTTACCGAATCGACCACACTTGGGTGTATGCTTTGATCGTTTTTTGTGTTCTGTAATTAACTCTCCTTAGTTTCCTTCTACATCATTTGTGACAATTTGGTGGAACACTCCAACACGACATCTACACAGACAGATCTAGTAGCTCAGAAAAAACTAAATTTAGTGAAAATCCTGAGGTTGCTTTCCAATTAAACAAGCCTTATTCGATAAAATGTATGAACAAAATACGAACACTTATTATTCTTTAACGCAACATCAACCGTAGTAACAGCAGTCCACCGACAGGGATAAGTGAAGTGAGGGTTTTTTTTTTTTTAAAAAAAAATTATATATTTTGGATACGATGTTTGGTGGGGGATCCGAAATATATTTTTCGGTTGGGAATTACCACAAATAACATTCATGTCGGTGGTGGCAGTTGCAACGGTAGCTACATAATTTATATTTCTATAATTGATAAATAATTCTCAAAATGCGTCTGCCTTCTTTCTTTTGTTATTAATTATTATTATTATTATTATTAATTGACATTATTCATAACGTTGAAAGTTGAAATTGATCCCGAACATACTAATTTTGATTTAATGTTTGTATTAGATGCTAAATTCCAATTAGCAGCTTGATCTGCATTAAACCTTTATGAAAAGAAGAAAACTGGGAGTGTGGTGGCGTGTCGGTGGTGTTTGCGGCCATGCTTTTTGATGGTTAAGAATAGGATATTCCCAGAACCAAACTAAAGCAGCAGAACACAAAAAGATTTGATGCTATAAAAGACTGTCCAACTTCCATACTAAGGAAAGAATCCAACCACTCTCTAACCTTCACCTTCAAGGAAATACCTAAAAGCATTTTACAATAAATCACGACTCACTCTTAAAACTTTGATTAAATCATATTTAGAATGGATAGAATAGAGTGGACAAGCAAAGAACGTGGCAGATGCATTTTAAAATTGCGATATGCAACGAGTCAAAACAGATAACATCTTTTAGGGGTGTAGGTCATTCTTAAGGCATTTTCATGGGTCATTGCGGATTGGTCGTTTAAATACTGTTGTCCAAGAGAGTAACTGGTATATAGTTTTTGCATTGTTATTTGTTCAAAATGTGGGGTAAGATGTTTGTTTGAATGCAGGGTGGGGGAATCATAAGCCTAGGGGCTTGTGCTGTGCCTGATTGTGACAGTGCCACTTATGGTGGGATAGCACCCTCATGGGTCGGCCTGGTTATCATCAACCACCGAAAGACTACCAAAACTATCAACTCTTCTCCTTTGCCTCTGGGCTTCCAGTTTGAAGAATGATGGTCTTTCAATGAGGCCCATTCCAATCAAATCGTACAATTGTTTGGGCCCAGTTCGATCCAAAATGGTAGGAGTCCCTAGTTTGAATGAGGCCCATTTACAGTATTTATTATTTGTATGGTTTTGAAAAATGTACTCATAATGTCCCTTTCTTTTCTCGGTCGGCAATGGAACAGTGGGGAAGGCATAAAGTAAAAAAACAAAAAAGGTAAAACTGAGAAGTCCAGAAAGGAAGAAGGAACAGTAAAAAAGTAATTTACAGAAAAGAACACAGAAGACGACAAAACATTATTCGGCTTTTTACAAAACAGTAATGGCTGTTTTCGCAGTGTCGATTGCAAGTGTGGGATCCGTTTGTTTCTCCCTAAAGAGTGTCCATTTCAGGGGAACAAAGGCTTCAAACACTTTTCTGTGTGCTCCCGACCCGTTCCAAACCCTTTCAACTTCATTATTTTTTCAACTTATGACAATTATAATTCTATAAATCCATTTTTCATTTTAATTCCATACCGTGTTTTGCTTTTAATGACAATATTGTCGAAATCAACAAATTTTAAGAATAAAATTTCATATTAAAAGTGAACAAGAATATAACCCAATGTGAAAACAAGGATTTGTCAAAATTGATTTGACTTTGTTTTGGGGTAAATTTTAAGTTAAATTATTTGTTTCAGACAATCCAACATTTAAAAGCTATTCCATTAACATAGTTGAATCACTTTGGTCGACAAAGGCCATCAATTTCAAAGTCTTAATTAAATTTAATATTCCTAAAACAACTTTTAATTACTTTTTAGGCCTTTCTTCTCACCGACCTACTTCTCCCCGTAATCCTTTCAAGTTAATCTTTTTCAATTTTCAAAAACTCATCGTTTGTATTGGTGTCATCTTAGATATAATTTTTTTAGTTCGACGTAGAATAAGAGAAATCAAACTTGAAATATTTTAGTCGAAAGTGTTAGGTCGTGTAAATGAATATTATCTATTAAATATCTTATCCATTAAATTAGAAAGGAATCTTATCCATTAAAAATGTTAGGATATTGAAATCATTCATTTAAAACAGGTAAAGGAAAAATTGCTAAAGTGACATATACATGATTATGGGGGACAAACTCAATATTTTTATCATAATAACAAATACTTAATTAAAAGCATGTTTATAATTTAAAAGTTTTTGAAGTAAAAGCTGTGTTAAGCACATATTATCATTTCCTATGTTGTTATGATTTGATTGGTGGTATGTGAATCATACGTGGGTTCAATTCCCGAATTATTTTATTGGGTAATTAAAAAATACACTATAGGATATATGGTTATACCAAACCCTTGCATAATTAAAATACAATTAAGGCGATTTAGGTTAGGTTTTACGAATAATTAATGTTGAAAAAAATGAGTGGCTACAACATGATGAATTTGGTTTATCCTCCCAACATTTAATTTAAAGACAAGAAACACATGCACCGAGCTAGGAATCAAAGTTGACGTAACAATCCCAACTAATCTCTTGAAAAGTTAATGTTAATTATTTAATTAATTATCAGAAAAAGACACAATAATTTAATAGCCCTAGAGCTTGCCCATCCGTTTAGTCAATATACGCATTCATCTTTATTGGCCAATGCCTACAAATAATTGGCGTTGAGCTATACCCATACCCCTTTTTCCAGTGCAATAATGTGTGTTAAACACGGAATATTACTTCCACTCTAAAACTGAATAAATATAGCATTCAAACATGTGTCACTCTCGTCCTCCATCCAGTGTTGATGACCAAATCAATTAAACTACGTTTCATTTGCTCCCACGACATAGATTCCCGTAATTGTTATGAAGAAATATAATAATAATAATAATAGCAATATTGATGTGTGAAAGAGGGAACCCTAGGAGCGAGGAGGAGGGCGTGGAGAAGCGAGCAACGCAGGTGGCTCCAAATCTAAAACGGCCAAAACCAAAATTGATGCCTCAATGTCACTGCCTATGTACTATTTTCCTCACAGACAACTCGCCAAAAATACTCAAAATATCCGATTTCAGACACACACAAGGAATATGTTCCCACGTGCGCTAACCTCCATGCACACTTTGTTTTTATTTTTTATTTTTTACATGTTTTGACACATTATTTTGAATATTGATGATTTAAAAAATGGTATTTAATTTCACGGTTTTTTTTTAATGGAAATAATAATAATAACTAATTTGTAGAAAAACGATGAAATCTGAAAACACTGAACATGTCTTAACGTGTTTTAAAAGGAGGCATTCAGGCTTTTGGAATTGTATCTGAAAAACAACTCTCAAATTTCTGACATGTCCTGTCCTCTGTATTTCTTGGCTTTTTTAAATTAAAGTGCTTTATGCATATATTTTAAAAGTCTCATTAAAATTACTCTCCTTTATATGTAATCTACACCCACCTTTCAAAAACTTTCTTTTTAATATTTTTTTAGTCTAATTAAAGAAAAAAAAACACAAAAATAGAATTTCTCATATTTGTTTTCCATAAAATTGTATTTATTTTCTTTTCTTACAAGGTAAAACCAAAAAAAAAAAAGAAAAAAGAAAAAAGAAAAGGAATTGGTTGGTTAGGAATAAGAAATTTAATTGGGAGAAGTGAATGATGATGAAGAAGGGAGGGAAGAACATAATTCATATAATTATGAAGAATAAGTGCAAAAATAGATAAATGCAATGCATCTAAATGAATGAATTGAGTGGAGAAGGGTTTGTGATAGCTACAAATTATATGGCATTGCTTTATGGAAGAAGCAGCGGCAGCCAAGAAAATAATTTTTTTAAAAAAAGTTATTATTTTCCACACTCTTTTTACACTCAAAAGAAAGGAAAAAGGAAAGAAAAAGGATGCAATAGACCAACAGACATATTTGTAAACACAACAATTACATCATGAAGCCCATATTTTAGACATTACTTCAACCTTATTACACACAAACACATCAACCTACAACCTTTCCTTAACCCAAAAAAAAAAAAAAAAAAAAAACGAAAAAAAAAACACTTACTTCTAAAAGACATATGCATAATCCAACAAACTCAAACTCTATCCTCTTCTGCTTGGCTGCTGCTACGTCGTCATCGTCATCATATATAATCTTTTTATACATATGGGTCTTTTTCAATTTTCTTTTTTTTTTTCGTTTTTTGTTTTGTTTTGTTTTTGTTTTTGTTGGTTGGTTTCAACGACGTCGTTCGGGTGTCCAGTGCGGCTTGGATGGGCTAAAGTGCACTGAAGCTACCCTAGAGTCGAGGAGTTCCACAATGGGTGTGAAGTTTACGCAGCGTGGCGCTTTGTACTGGTTGATTGATGCACCCCTTGAGATGGCGTAGTCCATTAGCTCTTCAAACGTTCCGTTTTTCACAACCCTGATCTCTAGTGGTCCAATTGAGTTATCCGCGACTCGGCCTTGGCGGTACACCGAGTTCAGGCTCTCTTCGATGGCAAGGCAGCACTGATTTAGAATCTCCGCAGGCGGCGGAGAATTTGCGGCTTCGTCTTTCACTAGAAGCTCCCAATATATGACGTAATGTCCTGGGATTGTTTTTGTGTCGGCATAGCTCGTGTATTCCACCACGCTGGTGTTCAGCTCTCGCAGAAGAGATGACGCGTTCTCCACTGCCTTCTGGAGCTCCGCCTCGTCGGTCTTGTCGGCGTCGATGCTGAGCAGAACGTTTTTTCGTCTCACGAATCGGAACTGTGGGGCTGCGTTGTGGAACCCTGTGACCTCCAGCACGTCGCCCACTCGGTACCGCCGGAGTCCAGCGTAGGTTGTGATTACCAGCTCGTACTCTTTCCCGACTTCCACGTCCGCGAGGTCGACAAGTCGAGGAGGGGAGTCGCGGGAGAGAACAGGAGGGGACGACGTGTCGTGCGGGAGGAATTCGAAGTAGCCCATGTTTGGCATGATGGTGTAGGTCACTTCTGAGGGCTTGCACATTGGCTTCAAATTTACCCCGAAATAGCACTCCGAGGAAGCGTACATAGTACAAGCCATGGGTAACCCACCGCTGTAAAATTCCAGCGTGGGAATATACTGAGCCATGGCTCCAGTGACGATGACGTCCAGGTATTTGGTGTTTGGCCAAATTCTAGTGATAATCCCTTCCCACTCCTCTGTGGAACACTCCTTGGAGATGAATTCCGCCACCTCCGGATTTGTGTTTGTTAGGTATTTTGAAACGATGCATTCACGGAGACAAGGGTCTGTGATTTTGGGGTTTAGGGTTCCGGTGGAGATGTCGTGTGCCAGCTGTTTCCAGTTCAGCTGCAGGAAGCGGATGGCGCGGAGGAGGCCAGAGGCAAAGACGGCGCCAACTCGGAGGACTTGCTCGCGCATCAATAGCCCACATAACATTTGAGTGTACATACTTTGGAAGGAATCGGCGCATAGAACGGCCTCGTTTGGGCTAGTGTAATCATTGAAAGGGTCATAGGGCCTAGTCTTAAAGATGTCGCTCTTGTAGTAGCTGGTGAGCACTGGACGAGCCACTAGCCCTCCAGGGGTCTTGGTTTCAGCCTTCACGAATAAAAAGTAGAGCCCCTTCCCTTTGTCCAATCCCGGCACATACCTGACCATTTTGTTCATTGTTAATTTTCTTCCCCCTCAAAATTAAATTAAAAACGAGTCGTGTCGGGTCGGGTCGAGTCGAGACACGAGTGAATTCTTACAGATTCATAATGGGCATGAGAAGGCTGTAAAGCAGCTGACGACGCTCCATTTCTTCTTGAATTGTCGGCATCAGTTTCCTCTCCCCAGCCGATGTCCCAGAACTGTGAAATTAAATACAATTTAAATTCCATTTACATAAATAAAACTAAAAAAAAAAACCCAAATATATTTAGGTTAATTACAAAATTGACCTGGTGAGAAACTCAGAAATGGGAGTGGATGAAAAAATAGGAGAGCGATCGCCATTGGCAATACGTTGGATGTCGGGCTGGAGATCTTCGTAAGTAACGACGGGAATCTTGGACTTGTAGGTGTCCCTGTCAGTGGCTCCATTGAGGCGGAAGCGGTTGACGTACTCAGTATTAGCGTTGCGGCTCAGAATCTCTGCCAACACCCTTTGCTGAACCGCGTCAGTATTTGTAGTGACCTCCTCTATGAAACGAAGGGCTTTGGCGTCCTTATCGGAGGGCGGCGGGGGAAGAGGAGAGGAAAGCTGAGAATCAACTGCCATTACAAAACAAGAAGGCAAGAAGTTTGAAAAGAGATAGTAGTAGGAATATGAGAAGGAATAGATGAGCGGTGAAGTTGTGAGTGTGGGATTTATATAGCAAAATGAGAAGAGGGAAGAGGTGGGAGGCAATGGTAATGCATGCTGTGATGACACCTCAAAATCCACGTCATATGAGGAAGAAAAAAATATATTTGGATGTGACTGTTGCTGTGGAGGGAAGGAACATGTGGGTCCAGTACACATAGGCGTGTGTAGGAAGGGGTGGACATGTGAGGCCCACATGTTTGTGCCAGGTCAAATACTGATTTTGTTTTGGAGTGAGGACCATGTTATTGGAGACAAGGACGGCTGCCGGCGGAAGCAGCCAATTTGTAAGGCAAGGGAGAACCCGAGAAGGAGGAAGGCAGAAGGCGGCCAATCACTTCCGTATATTTCAACGCCTCCACTGTTAATTGCTAATCCCACGCTAATCATTTTACATATTCATTAATATATACAACAATTTATTAATTTCTTTAAAAAAAAAACTTTATTTTATAAAAAAATGGTCGCAAACATGGGGATAGGATAAGATGGCAATATAATTAATCATATAATATATTGTTTAAAAGCAATTGGCGATAAGATCATAATGGGAATTATTGAATTATTATTTGGTGGTGTTATCACGTGAACATGACGTTGATTATAAATTTTATTTTCTTTTTTCCTTTTTCAGTTGATTACAATTTTAACTTTGAACCTGCCCTTGGTGTCCAGCATTTAAAACGAAGAGGGTAGGTAAAAATCTGGCTTTGTTTTTGTTTTATTTTATTTTTAAATTAAACTTATGACAGTTGCATTGCATTTACATAGTTTTCTTCGCCAGCCTATGCGTTTTCTTTTCCTTGAAAATTTAATATAACTAATGCAAAGTTTCCATAAATGTCTCTCAATTTTTATTACTTTTATCTTTATTTAAATCTATTATTTATGCTACGTTATATTATTATCTTTTTGCTTTTATTTCAACCAATAAATTATGAAATAGTTATTTTAAAATATAAATGAAGTTTGGATATTTTAAAAAATAAAAAATAATTGGCATAGAAAATGATGATTGTGTAAAAAATGAGAAGAAAAGGAAATTAAATCTCCCAATCTGCACGTCATAAGAGGTAGTTATTATCAAAACTGTAATTAAGGTTTTAAATTTGTTTGGTTTATTTTTGACAATGGAATATATTCTCTTCATTTCTCCTCCCAAAAAAGTTGTTGACACAAATAATATCCTTTTCTTTTGCATATCTCTCGTATCAACTATAATTCCAACCTGAATCCATTGTTCATTTAATCAAGGTCCTATTGGTTTAATTACAAAGTAGCCCTTTTAATTCTTTTTTCGTATTTCAAACCATAAAACAATGTTTTTAAAAAAAAAAAAAAATTAATTTTTAGCCTTTTGAATAAGATTTCAAAAGTACTTTTGGTATTATTGCTAAGAAAATAAAGATTATCGAGAGTATTTTGTTTATATAGGGTACATCATTTGAATTATCGAACAAAATCGTGTATCAAACTAGAAGACTCTTACATATGACATTACGGAAAACCATATTCAAATTATGATATTTCTACTATATTCTTGAATTGGAAGACCTTCCTCTAGCCTCTCCTTTTGTTCGTTTTTTGTTATACCTACAATTTTTTAACTCTCGTGTGACTTTAAATTAAATACGAGCGTTGTTACTATCGAGTTTTTGTATTGGAAGATAGGAAAACAAAATAGAAGAAATGAGAATGTTTGTTGGGTCATTTTGAGGTTTGAACTATTGTTGCTACTACCAAATTGGCCATTGTCTCAAATTGCTATACAAAGGAAAAGAAATTTGTAGGATTAAATACAGTTCTTATTTGTTCTTAATGAAAAATGTCACGACCACTCAAAATTTGGCCGTCCAACTTTTGTACTTTTGCAACAAAAAGCTTTAGTTTTTATAAATACATTTGATTTTGTTTGGCTTCTACTGAGAAAAAAAAAGAAAAGAAGTAATGCATTTATTGCGAAACCCTAACTATCCAAACTTTATAATTAAATTATGAAAATAATGGAATAATACAAGATTATGATGCTCCTGTTCTCAATTATCCGTATATATTCTTTGAAAAATAACATTATTTTAAACACGTAATAGCGTGACACGTGTGACGTTACCCAATAATTTAGTCAAAATAGGACATATTATTATTGAATTTCATGCACATTCATGACCCACAAGTGACAGCTTGTATCTCCCTATGGTAGACATTCACACGTAAAGATTATTTGGTAGAAAAATATTATAAGAGGAAAAGGAAGTTATGTTATATTATTTACATATATCGAAAGCTTCGACATTTTTGTTATAAATTCGTAAAATATAAGGAAAACGGATGGGCGTTGAGAAGTGTTTGAGATTGAGAGTCAAAACAATCCAGAGGGCCGACGTGTTGTCGAGGAATTGTGGAACATGGAATTAAGAAGAGTTTGAATTTTGGGGAATTAATTAGCGTTGAAGATAGAGGAAAGCAAAGGGCAAAGGCAATAGGGGGCGTTGCTAAGTTACCACAAAACATTCGGAGGGTCAAAGGATTTGGCTTCCCAGATTCAAACTTCTTAGCAACACAAAATTATGTTCGGTTGTCGCATTGACTTCCTAACCCACACACGTTTGCTTCATCTTTAAACCCTCTCTTTATTTATATCCCCCATGACTTTCACACCATCTTTTCCTCGTTTTTAATCATTAATTATTAATGCCTCTACTACCGGTTTTCAAACTCACAAATCCTCGTAAATTATGTGGCAACGTGTAACCGTCCAAACTCATCGCTAGTGAATATTGTCTGTTTTGATTCGATCTACCTCATGATTTTAAAATGTGTCTACTAGGGAGAGGTTTTCATACCCTTATAAAGAATGAAAGGTTTTCATACCCTTATAAAGAATGTTTCGTTCTCCTTCTCAACTGTGGGATCTCAGAGATTATCCTCCTTTGGGGTCCAACGTCCTCACTGACACATTACCCCGCGATTGATTCTGATGTCATTTGTAATAATCTAAGTCCACCGCTAATAGAAATTGTCTATTTTAGCCTGTTACGAATCGTCTCAACGCGTCTACTAGAGAGAGGTTTATACATCTTTATAAGGAATGTTTTGTTCCCCTCTCTAACGTATGGATTATTGTGAGATCCCACATCGGTTGGAGAGGAGAACGAAACATTTCTTATAAGAGTGTGGAAACCTCTCCTCAGTAGACGCGGTTTAAAATCGGGAAGCAGTGCACAATACGTAACGGATCAAAGTTGATAATATCGACTAGCCTGGACTTAGACGGTTACCTAATGTTTTTTCTCCTTGAAAAGTGGGCATTAGAATATGCCATTATGGTTTGAAGGCGTTTGACTAGAGCAGGTTTGGGGGGACAGAGAATAGTTAGCTGCCTCTTTTGAAAGTCAATGAAAGCAACAAATGGTCAAAATTTGAGACAATTTTGGTTCTTCTCTAACCTAATTTCTTTCATTACATTCAACATTTAGGTTTGGGAGTTTGTCAAAACTTGTCCACACGTTTTACCCACTTCCCTAATTTTGATGGTTTCCAATGTAGATTGCGACTTGAAATTCAATTTTGTGACTAAAAAATCAATAATTTCTACGTTATTTGTTAAATTCAAAAGTAATTTAACCCATGAAGGATTTTTCTTCACCCACCTAGTTGTGTTGTTCGTTGGAAGTGAATGAATTGGGAGGCCATGAGCAGCCATGTTGGGCGTCCATGGTATCAATAAGAAGCCTTCAACCAAGCTAAGTGTATGTGTTTTCTTGTCCCTCATATCATCAACAAAGAAATTGGAGTCCATTTCCAAAGGATTAACAACGCTAATCTAATTATCTAAACAAATTTGTTGTTCATAGACAGACAAGTTCTGATTCATAGTCGTAAAAACATGTCGATAAAACTATTCTTCCCTACTACATACCCTCAATAAACACCAAAACCATCCCTTTTCAATACAAAAATGACAAAACATCGAGAATACTTTACGTGTACTAAACTTGTAGCTAGATTCTTCAAAGGGTATAGTCATTTTCATATATATTTGTTCAAATAGAAAAACAAATCTTGTCAGAGAAGGATTGTGTTCATAACATATATTACAAAAATTATAATAACTTATTATTACTGTTCATATTTATAAAATTAGGTCATGGGTAAGAAGATGTTTTGTCTTGAAGCTCAAAAGAATTGAAAGGATAAATGAGACAAATTTCCTTCAATCACGCGTAATAATTGAATCGAAAAGATTCCAACATGGATCAAAGGATATATGTCTAAACAAATCGAGTTAGGTTCAAGTTAAGAACATAACCTTCTCATTTGCTATCTATATTAAATCACCAATGAACCCAAAAACTAGTAAAATTGATGAAAATTTCTACGTAACATAATATTTTGAGCATGAATTTCTCTCGGGTACCTTTTGGTTCAGCTTAGATGGTCGGAAACACATGTGTTAATAAGTGGCAAAGTGGCATACGTATACGAAAGCAGCATGGAAAAGGCAGGAAGCTGGCTGTGGAAGAGAAAACGTAGAAAATGATGTTTAGAGTTTTGGGGTTTGCGGTCAACGACAACAATATTATTTAGAGTGACAATTGGGACAAGCAAGATTCAAAATAAAACCAGACAGGACATATGCATGCACTTGTAATTAGCTCTTACAGAACCACGAACCCTTTGTTTTACTTGTTATAGTGAAAAGGACGAGAGATGAGGAAGATGTTTTGTTCTTCTTTGTCCTCCAAAATAAAGGCATTCGTGCTCTTCTTTCTTCAGTTGCTCTCAAGCTTTGGTTCATTGGTTAGGTTCTATAATCTAGCTTTGTGAACTCACATGATTCTATGTTGTAACAGCCCAAGCCCACTGTCAAGATACTATCTGTTTTGGCCCGTTACGTTTGCCATCAATTTCACGATTTTTTAAATGCATCTGTTAGGGAGAGGTTTATACAACGTTATAAAGAATGTTTTGTTCCCCTCTCCA